GGCGTCATGTACCATCTATACATCATTTTATAACAGTTCTCTCTAACATTGGTACAGGTCAAAATCTTAATCGAGTTTTTCCACAAATACTCCCATACATCAATAGTCACTTCTTTGTTCATATTAATTGCCCATTTTATCATTTGCTCTTTAACCATCTCATCTTCAGTATACCATTTTAACAATATTTTATACATATTTGAAAGCCCTCCCACTGTTGACCCCCCCCCCAAGCAAGTCCCTCACCTCCTCAAACCCCGTCCTCCTCAGGCTCCACCCCAAAAATATCCAGGTATTTCCCTACGTGGGGCTGGCAACTAGGATCTCAAAAATGGCAGCTTTGGAGGGTGGACTGGGGTTACCAAGCCCCCTGCTGTAGGTGGGGAATCTCCTGCCCAGTGTTCCCTCTAAGCTGAGTTAGTGTGAGCTAGCTCACAGTTCTTTAGCCTCCGGCTCACACATTTTTGTCTTCGCTCAGGAAGGATGGCTCCAGAGCAAACTAATTTATGCAGTAGCCAAATCGCTCGCTCACAACTTTAATGCCAGTAGCTCACAAAGAAGAATTTTTGCACAGAAGACTTCCACAGTTTAGAGGGAGCATTGCTCCTGCCCCCAGGCTCCGCCTCCCTCTGCCAATCAGCTGGCTGGTGGGGGGACTTACCAGGCAGGAGGGAGGCCCAGGCTACATCGCCAGTAGTGGGGCAACATAACTTCTGGTGTGTACCAGACATGACGTCATCATGGCGTCCTCGTCTGCACAATGATCTGGTATTTGGTAAAAATGGCTTCTACCATAGAGTTTTTGCCCAACTGCCACATTGTCCCCGGGACATTTCAGCGTGATGACGTCACTTCTGGTACACACCGGAAGTAAAGCGGTCACATCACCAGCGATGTAGCCCAGACCAGTGTTCCCTGTAAGCTGAGTTAGTGTGAGCTAGCTCACAGTTTTTTTAGCCTCTAGCTCAGGAAGGATGGCTCCAGAGGAAACTAATTCATGCAGTAGCCAAATCGCTCACTCACAACTTTAATGCCAGTAGCTCACCAAGTAGACGTTTTGCTCACAGGACTCGACAGCTTAGAGGGAGCATTGGCCCAGACATCCCTCCGGCTCCTAGTAAGACCCCCCCACCCCCTGCTGATTGCCAGGAGGGACCTGGCAACCCTAGGGTGGGCTCTATGACCTCATGCCATGCTGAGGTTCCACCCCCAAGTCTCCAGGAATTTCCCAATTTGGTTGGCTTTGATAATCATAGCTTTACCTGATGAAGGGAGCTTTGAGTTTCAAAAGCTCCTGCCCCCCAAATATTCAAGGTTTTTTTTGGGTTTTGGTAAGTGTGTGCAGGGCTCTTTTTGTAGAAAAAGCCCAGCAGGAACTCGTTAGCATAATAGGCCACACCCAACAGCAGGAACTCATTAGCATATTGGGCCACACCCCTGACAGCACAGCTCATTAGCACATTAGGCCGCACCCACATGTTACCAGAAGTGTGGTCATCCAGCCACACCCACCTTTTGCTTGTTATTCTGTTGACCTTGTTTGTTGTCAAAACCCAGGGCCTTTTTTTGTAGCAGGAACTCCTTTGCATGTTAGGCCACACACCCCTAATGTAGCCAATCCTAATGTGTTTCTGCTGTTGGGTGTGGCCTATTATGCTAATGAGTTCCTGATGGGCGTGGCCAACTCGGGAGCCAGCCGGAACTCCGTTCCTGTGCGTTCCTGCCCCAAAATAGCCCGGAGTGTGTGTGTGCTTGTGTGCCTGGAAGTCATGGTGACTTCTGGCGACCCCTAGTGGGGCTAGGGTGCATCAGAGAGGTGGCTTGATATTGCCTGCCTCTGTGTATTCCTGGGAGGTCTCCCTTCCAAGTACTTGTTAGGTTGGACCCTGCTTAGCTTCCGAGATCTGTTGAAGATCAGGCTTGCCTGGGCTCTCCAGGTCAGGGCCTGCCCCCCCCAAACCTTGCTGGTCTCTAAGGTGCTTCTGGTTGCCAGCCTAGCTGTGTGTTTGTCTATTTATGACATCTACAACATTTGTTTATGGTCTTTACAAGCTGCATCCCCCACCCACCTGCCCAATCAGGGCCACCAAGGCGGCTAACAATTAAAGCAGTGTAACAGAATACATCATAAAACCAGCCCTGCCCACCTACCTATAAAAAAGCAGGCCTCCTGGATCCTGTTGCTGTCAGAGAGGGGAGAGAGCTCCAGCCTGTGCTGAGCAAGACCATCTGCTCAGCCCCAGTCTCCTTGGGGCCCAAGGCACTATAAGAAATCTGGCCTTGATGTGGGGAAGGGAGGAACAACATCTGTAGGCAACTTGCTGACCCGCTGTCTGCCGAGGCCTGGCGGGAGGGACCAGCGACCCAGGTGCAGGGTACCAGGGACAGAGGTATTTTTCTTGGCCAAGAGCCAGAGATCAGTGTCAAAGGTGGGGACCTTATTGAGGCACAACCAGAGATCATCTTGGTTTCTATTGAGGACTGCGAGTTCTGTCGGGGGTTCTTTCGGGTTGCCAGCTCTGGGTTGGGAAATTTCTGGAGATTTGGGGGGTGGAGTCTGGGGAGAGCAGGGTTTGATCCCAGGAGATCTGGGGAGAGGTTTGATCCCAGGAGATCTCCAGCCACCACCTGAAGGCTGACAGTTCTACCTGGTTGAAATTGGATGTTTTGTCCATGGTTGAAATTTCTACCTGGTTGAAATTGGATGTTTTGTCCATGGAACCTAGTAATACCAGGTTAATTTTTAATGCTCTTAAGGACATAGTTGTTATATATTAGAAGACTACAGGTAGAGGAAGACTGAAAGATATCTAAAGGTTTAATAGTTAGGCTGGTTCTAGCTTCTACTGGTTACAATGAGTTTAAAAAAGAGAGCAATTAAGTATACCTGGGAGATGCTTTAGATATATGGTAATGTGAATTACTGATTAATTGATGATCTATTTTTAATTGCTTAATTTGTTGAGAAAATAACTTTGATTAAGCATATGAAGATTAATTGGTACTGCAGGGGTTATTGTTTATTATAATTCTAACCATATACTGATATCTGTATTGTATACTAATGCCGTTCATTATTATGTGGTAAGATTTATTTATAGATTAATTTTGAGTAGCTGATCTTGACTTGCCTTTTCTGGATCTGGTGATTTATTTAACTGCATAGAGTTTAGGAACTGATTGGTTGCATTGGTATAATAGTGGTTCTATGCTTGGATCAAAATCCACAATTTGGCCATATCAGAGCTTATTTTAACAAAAAAAAAGATGATAACGAACAAGAACAAGGGACCATGGAAGATCTTATGAAAGAAATAATTTTAAAAGGACATTACAAATAAAATAGAGGAAGTGGAGAAAAGTAGAGAAATAAAATGTCAGGGTATAGAAGAGAAATCTATGACGTGGATAGTCCAGGCTAGACTGATCTCATCAGATCTCAGAATGGATGGGAGACCTCCAAGGAATGCCAGAGTCACTGCACAGAGGCAGGCAAGTCACAGCAGACTTATGGCCACCCAGGGGTCGTTTCATAGAAAAAGAGCTAGGGGAACTCATTAGCATAACTCATTAGCATATGTCACACCCCCTGACATCACCGGAAGTGTGTCATAAGGCCACACCCCCTGGCATCACCTGAAGTGTGTCATAAGGCCACACACCCTGCCCCCAACGGTCCCGGCCGCCGGCGCCACCCTTGCAGCTCCACTGCTGAGCCCCATGAGGGGCCCAGCGGTGGACCTGCAAGGCTGGCGGGAGTGCAAGGAAGCCCCGCAAAGGCCCTCCCTGGCCCCAGGCAGGCAGGGGGGGGAGAGGCAGGGAGGAAGCAACTTACCCTCCCTCTTCTTCTGCCATAGGGTTTTCAAGGCAAGAGACATTCAGAGGTGGTTTGCCATTGCCTGCCGCTGGTATTCCTTGGTGGTCTCCCATCCAAATACTAACCAGGGCCAACTCTGCTCAGTTTCTGAGATCTGAGGAGATCAGGCTAGCCTGGTGAGGGCAAACAAGCTTAAACACTGGAAATACATTCTCACATATTTACATATGAGAAGTCAAAAGGTCTTGTTAGAAGGTCTTTGAAATGAGAAGTCTCGCCTTCCTCATAGGATTGTGGATCATTCACTGCCCATGGGAGAATCCCATATACTCTTTTTCTTATTTTTCCCTTTAGAGGGAAATATCTGAGCAACCTCATTTTATTGTGTTCTGTACTCCTGTTCTGGTTTTCCAGATTGTCTTGGTATAGCCCACTGTCTTAACATCCGAACTGTGTCAGTTCGAGCCCCGCGCTGGTGTGAGCAGCCAGCCTGTTGTCCCCAGCTCATCGTCCACCCAGCAATTCGAAAGCCTTGGCGAGTAGATAAAATGGGAACCACTCCTTAGAGAGGGTGGACACACCAGCTCCCCTGTGGGAAGGTGTTAGTTGTTGGTCGGGACATCCTGCTCCAGGATCGGAAGGTGGTAGAAACTACTCGGCTACAAGAAAAATCCCTGCAGTGGGATGCTCCGGCCAGGCGGTGGCAGTGTGGCGATACGACATACGGGTCCTGAAGCCCCAACGTCATCAAGCCGGTCAATGCAGCCGTTTGGGACATGACTGATCCAAGCCAGAGACGTTTCCACCGTGCAGTTACAGCGTGTGCAATTAAAAACAAATGAATTATATGTTGTCTTTCCTATCCCCTATGAAACACTGTTAGTCCCCTGTCTAAAAGTGCAACTGTAAATCACTTTGAGCCCACTTGTGGGGAAAGCGATTAATAAATCGAAAGCATTATTTTTATTATTTCCTCAACATTTTTCTGCCTTTCACCCCTGAGCAGGTGCAGCTCCTAGGAAGTCAAGTCGAATGGTAGCAGGCCAGGCCCTTCTGCCAAGACCTAAACCTTTTCCTAGGGGCTCAGGCCAGTGCTGAAATTCATAACCAATCCAACATGGCCTCATGTTTTCCTCTGTTTTTTCCAACAGGTACCAGGCTTCAGTAGCAAAAACACTCCAAAATGCCTGCTTCTTTAATGGGCGATCTGAAAAAATGCCTCGCCAGTGGAGAATATGGGAAGCTCAAGGACTGTCCCCTCTTTGAAAGCAATTTTGTGCAGGTGAGAGAGAGGGGACTGGGCTGGGAGCAGAACTCAAGAATCCTTGTACCCAGGCAGGGCTGATGCAGTCGTTAGACTGAGCAAAGCAGCCACGTGGCAGCAGAGCCAATTTGGGGATCATAAAAACATAAGAAGAGCCCTTCTGGATCAGACCTGTGGTCCACCAAGTCCAGCATCCTATTGAACACAGTGGCCAAGCAGTTGCCCTGAAGGGGCCGAACCAATGGGACATGGATGCCCTCGTGCTGCCTCCTAGCACTGGTATCCAGAGGTTTACTGCCTTTGTATACAGATCCATTGAAAGGGGACAAGCTGTCCTATAAATTGTGCTATTTTCAGTTCTCTGCCTCAGGTGCTGAGAGGTTTCAGGCCAGGCCCCATTGTTGCTAGACCCTACTTTCCTCTGGAACCCAGAAGTCCTGGTCCAAAATTATTCTGTTTTACCCTTTCTCTTTCCATACAAGGGAAGACATAGTTCTTCTCTTGAAGATACTCAGGCTGACAGCCACTGTGGTTGGATTAGGAGTGGACAAGACCCCATTCAGTCCCAAAGCTCACCAGGGGTCCTTGGTCCAATCACATGAGAATGGGGTGGGGGAAAGGCTTCTGGTCCTTCAGCGCCTTCCTAATGTCCTAATCTGGACCGACTCCCTGTAATTGATTTTAAGTCCTGTATCCTGCAGCTGACCAAAGAATCTCAAGGCATAAAGACCCAAGAGAAAATATCGCAGCCTAATTATGTTTAAATCGTTTTAAAAGTGAAAAACACTTCCTGGTGGGGCTGGGCAGAACAAGAGAATCTGTCTGAACCAAAGCATATCCTCTTTTAGGTGATGGGGCAGGTGTAGCTCATTACACAGGCCCAAGTCATAGGGTCGGGGGAGCCCATCCCTTCTAACAGTCAGACATGGCCTTGGGTTTAGGGCTGCCAGCCTCCAGGTGGCGCCTGGAGAACTCCTGTTTTTACAATGATGTAGTCCAGAGAGTACAGTGATTGGTTCCCCTGGAGACTATATGACTGCTTCGGAGAGTGGACCCTGTGGCATTGTACCATGTGGAGGTCCCTCCGTTTCCCATACTCTGCCCTCTCCAGGCTCCACCCACCCCCACCCCCCAAATCTCAAGTTGTTTCCCAGTCCAGAGCTGGCAACCCTAAGTTTCTCAGTTCCCACAGTCACTTTGCCCAGTTCAGCTCAGGCCTGCAGCACACATGCAGAAGGGAGTTCATCCTCACTCGCATGCACACACTCACAGTTTCCCTGATCTGAATCACTACCAGGGGCGGGGAGGCTTAGTCAATTCTAAGTTCTGAGGGCTGCTGCTTGGCTTTCGCTGAGCTGAATCCTCCAGCAAATTCCCAGTCACCAGACACTTGGGCGGGCAGGTGCCTGTGGGTGTCTTTTCTAGCCTGGTAAGGGTCATGGCCAGTGTTCCCTCTAAGCTGAGTTAGTGTGAGCTAGCTCACAGTTCTTTAGCCTCCAGCTCACACATTTTCGTTTTCGCTCAGGAAGGAGGGCCCCAGAGCAAACTAGTTTATGCAGTAGCCAAATCGCTCGCTCAGAACTTTAATGCCAGCAGCTCACAAAGTATCATTTTTGCTCACAAGACTCCACAGCTTAGAGGGAACATCATGGCCAAAGTTTTCCCAGTGAGGGTTATTAGTTGTAGGTAGAGGCCCTTCAACGTAGTTCTCTCTTTCCAGGTCACAAGATCGGGGGAGGTGGCCAACAAGGTCACCGTGGGAATTGCTGCCAGCAGTCCCAGCTTGGAGCTGCCTGATCTCCTGGTGCTGGCACGGCCGGTGGCATATCCGAGGGAGGAGTGCACGTGCGAGGATCCTGAACCCACACTGGCCCCTAGAGAGGAGCTGCAGCTTATTGCGTGAGTCCCTATCACGTCCGGGCACAATGATGCTTTTCTCTCCTAGGAGGTAGGACTGCCAGGGGATCTCAAGACAGGGAACAGTTCTGCAGGAGAAAATGGCCGCTTTGGAGAGTGGATGCTGTGGCACTATACCTATGGTTGCCAAGCTCCAGGTGCAGCCTGGAGATCTCCAGAAGTACAACTGATCTCCAGAAGACAGATATCAGTACCCCTGGAGGAAACGACTACATTGGAGGGTGAACATTATGGCATTATACCCTAATGAAGTCCCTCCCTTTCCCCAAACCCCACCACCCCCAGGCTCCACCCACAAAATCGCCATGTATTTCCTAACTTTGAGTTGGAAACTCTAATTATATTCCACTGAGATCCCAAACCTGCCCTCCCCAGGCTCCACCCACAAATGTCTGGTAAATGTCCCACGCTCCCTTCTTTCGTCATCATCTAGGGGCCTCCTGCAAGTGTCTGGCCCCAGAATAGCTTGGTTAGCTGTCACCAGGGGAAGGGTCTTCTCAGTTGTGGCCCCTACCCCGTGGAATGCATTCTTGGATGACACCCGTGCCCTGTCAAACTTGCTTAGTTTCTGCAGGGCATGCAAGACTGAATTATTTAGGTTTCGGCCTTTGGAGAGTAACCACGTTTGGGCTATTTTAATAGTGGTATGGTGATAGCCATGTATTTTAATATTTTCATGTTAAAATTTTATATTCATTTTTATGTTGTTTTTTTACCTTATTGGTTTTAATGTTGTAAGTTGCCATGAGACCCTTTGGCAACCCTACACGGGGGCAGTATGATGCTGGCTGAAAGTCTTACCTGTGAATGTGTTCCCCTTACCCTGAACTGATGGGTTTTGGCTATGATGATTCAGTGATGGGAAACGCCCTCTCCACATGCTCAAAGAGATTTCCCAGATTTTCTCCCCCAGTACATGTATACAGAAAAAACAGTCCCAGCTAATGCAAAATAAGGAGACCTCAGGATCTTACAGCTGTTTCAGAAACAGATGCTGGTGGGTTCCAGGGAAGTAGCTGTGCTACTCTGTTAACAGCAAAGACAAAACAAAGTTGTCACAAAGACTAGCAGATCCATTGTAGCATAAGGGTGCAAGGGCCACAACACATTTGTCAGATGTGCAAAGTGTTATCCCCCGTTGGCTTACGCAGAGACAGATGGAAAGAAAAAAACTCAATGTAAACAGTGTAGTTGCAGGGTAGCCAACGCAGTGGGGAGGGGGGATGTCCTGCCCCTTCCGTAGAGGCTTAAACTGTGGGATCTGGGTAAAGCTTTTCAGGGTACGGAGTTCAATAAAATCACCTGGTATTTGCTGAAGATCAAACTGATAGTCAAGGGGCAGCTAGAGGGACCAATCTTACACGCTGGCAGCCCTATGTGATCAAAAGGCCAGGAAACCCAAGAGATAAGCCCTGTCATTTGTCTATGCACAAGATGGTGGTGGTATGATCATCATCACACTGTTCTTTTGCACAGGGGGGAAATGGGGGGGTGGGGGAATGAGGGGGCACCAGCCCCACTGAACAGAGTGATCTATGCAGACCCTGTTCCTGTTTGTTCCTGCCCCACTGGCTGCCACTGCTTTTGTGGAAGTGCACTTTTCATATCCTCACATGTATGAAGGTAAAATCTAAGGATTTTATTCCTGACTAGGAAAAAGGCCAGTTGTGGAAATAAATACAACAACCTCTAGAAAGAGGCTCTGGGCGGGAGTCAATTTGCTGTGGTGACCGCAGCAGGGTATAATGACACTGAGTCCACCTTTATCCAGAGGAACTGATCTCTGCTACCTAAAGAACAGTTGTAATTTTGAGTGATCTCCAACCATCACGTGGAGATTGGCAACGATGGTTCCCCAGAAGGAAATAGTTGGTTTGGAGGGTGAAGTCTATGGCTTTGTACCTGTCCGAGGTCCCACGCCTCCTGAAACCTCACCCTCTACAGGCTCCATCCCTCACATCTCCAGGAATTTCCCACCTGGAGTTGGCAACCCTATCTCCTTCCCAACCAATTATCAACCTACCTTTATTTCCCCCTCACTCTTCAGCTTTCCACTCCCCACACACCTGCAGCCTCTCCCGTGCTCTGAAGCCCTGACTGCTACGTCACATTGGCTGTAATACGGGGACCACCTCAGCAGCATATAAGGATACGGAGCCCACCATTTTCTCCAGGGGAACTGATCTCTGCCATCTGGAAAGCAGTTGTAATTCTGAGTGATCTCCAGCCCTCACCTGGAGATTGAACACATTTTACCTCAGAACAGCAAAACTGTTTAGAATGTTAGAGGCAAAAGCCAATCAAGTCGCATATGCAAACGACCTCTGTGTTCCGAGGCAAAGGCCAATGAGGCTGCATATGCAAATAACCTCTGTGTTCTGACTGGCTATGGGGGGGAGAGGAACAGCAAACTGTTTAAAATGTTGGAGGCGAGACTCAAGCAATGCATCCAGGGACAGATTCTGAGTGACACACCAGGGCGCCAACCAATTCCAGAGCGTGTGGAATGTTCTAGAGAAGTGCCACCACCATTCGGCTTTTATTTATAAGGGAGATATATCACCTGCAGGGAGAGGATGAAATCCCTGCTCTCGGTGAAAGCACGGAATGGGTAAAACCAAATCCACCCCTCAGTTCTAGTTTTGAACAATCAAATTCCATTCTCGTTCAGATTAAACTGGATATATCAACGGGAAAAAACTTTTGATCAATTAAAAAGGTGTCCCAGACAACATTGTTTTTAACACAAATAGACATTGGACATTGCCAGTGGTGTTTTCCTTCTGGCACTGGAGGGAACGCCTCATCTGCATCACTGGCTCTATTCAGATGTCAACAATAAACCAGAGTGTTTTGGTTTTCCTCCCAGCACAGGAGTGGTTTGTTCTGGTTGTTCTGGGACTCACACACTTCTTTCCCTCCTCCCTTTGCACACAGAGATGTGAGTGATACCTCCAGGTTTTGGAAGGCTTCAGTATGGCTCCAATTTTGTTTGACTGCAGACTCTTCAGCAAACTGGAATTTCTTCCTTTCCCAGTAACTAGGATTCTAAACCAAGATTCTGGTTTAGAATCCAGTTACCAGGAAAACCCTAGCTGTAGAATGTCGGTTACCCAGAAAGAAAGAAACCCTAACTAGTTGAAGTGCCTGCATTTGAAGAGGACTACAAACGAGAGTTAGATCAAAGAAGACTTCCCAAACCAGAAACCGCATGTGTGAGAGGCAGGCCTGTTTGAGCCCAGTAATAAACCACGTTCATACTCCAGTTTGTTAATCATGACTGAATGCAGCCATATCGACAGCCCCTTCGTCAGGATGACTTTTCTTCCTATGCACATTTATAGACAAAACTATTTGATCAATTGAAATTCATAGGATTAATTAGCTGAGATTCCTTTTTCTCCGAGTGACAGTCCTGAGGGCCTCTGGCTTTGGTGTTTCGGGGGGTGGGGGGAGTGTAGGCCACAAATTAGGGGCATCTGCTGAGAGAACCTTCTATTCTTGTCATGGTAGAATGTCTGGGAAGAGATGAATTCTTAGATCTGCTGAGCACAGGCCTTGTAGGCTTTTTTAGGCCATCACAAGCACTGGATTAACCCAGGGATACCAACTGACACTGGGTAACAGGCAGGGCCGGATCGCTCACTAGGCGAACTAGGCAATCGCCTAGAGCGGGACGGCCCTTAGGGGCGCCAAACTGAACCCGGCCCCATACTCTGGAAGTCACTGGATTATTTGTGTTTTTCATTCTTCCTAAAATGCATTTATTTTTTAAAATTGGTGGGCGCACGGGGGGGGGGGGCGCCAGCAGGGATCCTCGCCTAGGGTGCAAAATAAGCTGGGGCCAGCCCTGGTAACAGAATAGGGGTTTGCTTTTTGGATCTCTTGATTAACATGCCTACCTTCCTCCTCCCTAACAGGCTCCTTCCTCTGAAGTTTGTCCGCATCTATGTTCATGACGACACCCGGTACCAGTTGAAAGTGAGCCTGGCCAACGGGCGCAAGTTCTATCTGCAGCTTCTGGCCCATCCTCAAAAACTGGACTATCTCTTTGGGCAGTGGGTCCGGATCCTCTACCGCCTGCGATTTTATCGCACGGATGCTCCGATCAGCTACCAACAGGCCTACCCCCATCGAATTATTTCGAGGAATTCATAACAGGTGAGCCAGAGCTTCCCTCTTCAAAGATTCTGGGGACCCCCTCCTTGTATACTTCTTGGTTGCTGTAAAAACCGTGAAGAGCACCTACACCTTGAGGTGTACACCATGAGGTGTGGGGAGGAAACTACAGCTGAGTGGGCAGCCCAGGAAAGGAAGAGGAGGGGATTCAAGCCATCCATACCAAAGAACATACGGAAGACAAGGTTGCCCTCACGGGCAGGCTAACCAGTCTTGGATACCACTCATCCTTGTGGAAATTTGTTGCAATGACACTACGTAAGAGACAAGATTGCACTTGCAGGCAGGCTCCTCAGGCTTGGACAGGATTCCTCCCTGTGGGAAGTTGATACAATGACCCTACAAAGAAGACAAGGTTGCCCTCACTGGCAGGCTCTTAAGTCCCAGGTACCATTCTTGCATGCACAAAGCAGCTGGAGCGACCCTACAAAGCAGGCAAGGTTGCCCTCATAGGAAGGCTCCTCGGATTTGGACACCATTCCTCCCTGCAGTAAGTTGCTGAAATTACCCTACAGAGGAGATAAGGTTGCCCTTGCCAGCAGGCTCCTCAGTCTCGGGACCATTCCTCCCTGTGGCAAGCTACTGCAGTGAACCTAGGAAAAGACAAGACTGCCCTGGCTGGCAGACTTCTCGGTCTCAAACACCAATCACCCCTGTGGGAAGTTGCTGCAGTAACTTGACAAAGAGACAAGGTTGCCCACGAAGGCAGCCGGGCCTTAGTCTCAGACACCATTCCTGCCGGCAGGAAGTTGCGGCGATGACTCTGTGAAGGACAAACGGTTGCCCTCGCAGGCAGGATGCTCGATCTCAGACACAATCCCTCCCTGCGGTAGGTTGCTGCAGTGACCCTGGAAGAAAGACCACACTGCTCTTGCAATCAAGCTGAGTCTCATACACCAATCCTCCCTGCAAGACGTCACTGCAATAACTCTGCGAAGGAGACAAGGTTGCCCTCGAAGGCTGGCTGCTCCATCTCAGACACAATTCCGCCCTCCAGAAAGTTGCTGCAAGGACTCAAAAGACAAACAAACAAGCCCACCACTGCCCTCGCAATCAAGCTGAGTCCTCATACACCAATCCTACCTGCTAGAAGTCACTGCAGTAACGCTACGGAGGAGACAAAGGTTGCCCACACAGGCAGACCCCTTGGTCTCAGGCGCCATTCCTCCCTACAGGAAGTTGATGTAATTACGCTATGAACGAGACCAGGCTGTCATCAGTAGCAGGCTCCTCGCTCTCGGACACCATTCCTCCCTGTGGCACGTTGCTGCGATGGCCCTACGAAAGAGACAAGGCTGCCCTTGCAGAAAGGCTCCTTAGATTTGGACACCAGTCCTCCCTGCCGGACGTTTCTGCAATGACTCTACGAAAGAGAGAAGGTTGTCTTGGCAGGATGGCTCCTCAGTTTCGGACACTATTCCTCCCTGCAGTAAAGTGGTGCAATGACTCTACAAAGGAGACAATTGACCTCGCCATCAGGCCCCTCACACTTGGACACCAACCCCCCCCTACAGGAAGTTGCTGCAAGGACCCTACAAAGAAGATAGGGTTGTGTTTGCAGGCCAGCTCCTTGGGGTTCGACACGATTCCTCCCTACAGGGAATTTGCTGCAGTAACCGTACGAAGAAGACAAGATTGACCTCTGTATCAGGCTCTTTGGTCTCAGACAGCATTCCACCCTGCGGGAAGTTGCTACAATGCCCCTACCAAGGAGACAAGATTGCCCTTAGTCAGACTCTTTGGTCTTGGACACCCGCCCCCCATGGGAAGTTGCTTCAACACCCCTACCAAGGAGACAATCTCCTCCTGACCGCTCCCAATAAAGAGTGTTTCTTACTCATCTGATCCTCCAGCTCCTGTTCTTAGACCAGCCCCCACACACACACCCAAGCCAGGATGATCTCCATAGCTGACCCTCTGTTCCACCCCCAGTTTAGTCACCAATCTCCTCTCTGAAAAGGTGGACAGAGGCACAAATTATCCCATCAAGATCACTTTATTGATACGACAACCAACCAGACGGACACACAGACAGATACAAAGAAGTTGGCTGCTCTATGGTAGTTGCTTCTATCCGAGGGCGAGATGTGTCGCTTGTTCTTGGGGTGGAGGCAGATAAACACCTTGATGCCCCCTGCAGCACATGTAGGATGGGACACCGTGATGAAAAGGTCAATTGTAAGCTGAGGGGAGAGGAAAACGGGGATCTGTAGTGTCGACTCTTTTGAGGCAAGCAAGGTAATTCACCCAGGCAGTTCTCTCCACACCAAACCTCCCCCGACACACACGTAATTTCCCAAAAAGATGGTTTATGTGCTCTCTTTCCAGATTTAGCCTCATTCCCTTCCATGAAGTACTTTTTCTCCCTGGTACTAAACCCAGAGGGCCCCCCCCCATCACAAGCCACTTGCTCAGACCCCCCCCCAAAAAACAGGAGCCCACTGTTTCTGCACCAAGTTGCTTCTAGAAGCAAAAAATAATCCAATTCTGTCTTGAAATCCAAAGAGCTGTATGCAGGGGTCATTTCCTGCAGGAGCGCACAGGAGCGGAGCTCCGGCAGTAAAGAGCCCAGGGGGCGGGCACATGCAACAAGCCCCACCCCCTGCTCCCAGCAGCCCTCAGTTAGAGCAAGAAGCAGCCAGGTAAGTTGCAGAGCTCCCCCCAGTCCCCCGGTCCAAAACCGTCCAGTGGCACCTTTAAGACCAAGGTTTATTCAGGTACAAGCTCTCCCCCCCCCCCCAATAGCTAGCAATCCAAAACAGTTCAGTGGAGCCTGAGTGGTGGGTGTTGCCTTCTGACACACTTCCGGTGATGTCAGAAGGTGTGGCATATGCAAATAAGTTATGATAATGAGTTATGCTAATGAGCTCCTGCACCTCTTTTTCTGCGAAATGACCCCTGGCTGTATGCCCCTTCCATGCACACAACAGGAAGGGGTGATGATGGAATAATGCCTGTGACCTACCTTCTTCAATCTTGGCAGTTGCAGCAGCATGTTTACTGGGGTGCTGGGGGGGGGGGAGGAAAGAGGACAGAAAGAGAGGGTTAGGCAGAGGTTTTGGTGGGCATAAGGGTGAGAAGGGATGTACCACTTCTCCGGAGAGAATACGTTTTCAGCCCATCCCTTTTTCAACCCATGGTCACCTTTGACCTCCAGCTTGCACTCCACAAGGGCTTCGCCCAGCTCATTAACAGCCTTGCAGGAGTAAGTGGCACTGTCAAAAGGGCCTGGCTTTCGGATGTTGAGGGTTAGCACCCCTTGGCTGTTTTTCTGGAGGAACTTTGGATCCCCGCTGATATCCATCTTGTTCTTCATCCAGATCACTTTGGGCTGGGAACAGACAAAAAAAGGGAAGAAGGAGGAGGAGGAGGAGGAGGAGGAGGAGGAGATTGGATTTATACCCCGCCCTTCACTACCCAAAGGAGTCTCAGAGCAGCTTACAAACTCCCTTCCCCTCGCCTCCCCACAACAGACACCCTATGAGGTAGGTGAGGCTGAGAAAGCTCTGACAGAAACTGCTCTTTTTGAAGAACAGCTGTGCCAGAACTATGGCTTGCCCAAGGTCATCCAGCAGGTGCAAGTGGAGGAGCAGGGAATCAAACCCGGTTCTCCCAGATTACAGTCCATGCTCTTAACCACTACACCGAACCGGGAGAATTTGAAAGGGAGCCGGCTGAAACCTCCTAGTGTTCGCCATCCTCATTCTAATTCTGAAGTACCTCTCATGGACTAAATTGTACCACCTACCATGCCCCAGAGCGATCAGTTTCATCCAGAAAGATTTGTGCAAACCTTGCCGTGTTTAAAAATCAGATTTCAGAATGTGCAATTTTTTTAAGCTGTGAAATTGAAAATCCTGTCATTTTTTTTTTAATCAGTGAGGCACAAACGTCACATTATAGGGGAATTTCTGTAAGGGGGACCATTCCTCCACAGAAAGATCAAGTCCTCCTCTGTTATCTTGTGTACGAGGAAGTGCTGCTGTACATGGAAGCAGCCCTTCCAAAAATGTGTCTGCAGCACAAATTCCTAAACGCTTGGCCCCCGGCCAAAGCTGTGGATTTTAATCTTGATGCCAGCCAGGCACAAGAATTAAGTGATCTTGCCAACTGAGCATCTTCCAGTCTTTCCCCTTGATTCTATGGTTATTTCTCTTTTATTTTGAATCCATGAAACTTTATCCCTCAAGTTTTTTTTCCTCCCAGAGCTAAAAATGCAAAAATGTAGCCAACAGGTATGGTACTTTCTGAAAACTTTGCCTTATTCTTACTGTTTTGTTTTTACGTCAAGGAATAACTATATTTCTTCATGTCTCAGCTGTGGACTTCCAGTAAAAACATCTATTTATTTATTTATTAGATTTGTATCCCGCCCTCCCCAGATGGGCTCAGGGCGGCTTCCAACAGCGGCAAATGCCATAACTAACAATTAAAACAGTATAAAAACAATATGATAACAGTCAATAAATAAAGTGCGGTGCTCTAAATGTTAACTTATCGCTCCAAGATGGGATCCATTTATCAATCTAGCCTGACAACATGAGTTCTTGGTCACCTAAGCGTCTTCCCAGGGCCAGTTCACTTATAGATCTAATCCACCGTCATAGATGGCAACTCGGTGGTGGCACAATGGCGGCGGCGGCTCCTATGCAAAGGCCTGGCAGAAGAGCTCCGTCTTACAGGCCCTGCGGAACTGTGCCAAGTCCCGCAGGGCCCGGATCTCCTCTGGGAGCTCGTTCCACCAGACAGGAGCTGCCGCCGAAAAAGCCCTGGCCCTGGTTGCGGCCAGCTTGATGTCCTTGGGGCCTGGAACCACAAGTAGGCGCTGCGCCCCAGACCGTAGTGCTCTTGGGGAACATATGGGGAAAGGCAGTCCCTTAGGTACGCTGGACCCTGGCCATCAAGGGCTATGGTCAAATATGGTGATTCTTCTCCAGCTATATGGATTACTCAGCAAACACAGACCCTTTCTATACTGA